TGCTCGTATCCACGTCCTCTCTGGGATGCGAAAACTTCACTGATATGTGACACGGCCAAAGTGCTCTTTTTTTTCTGACCCCCTCCCTGATCAACGCTATAACCTACGACCCTGCGCGGGCCATGCCTCCAAGTGAACAGGACCTCCGTCAGGTGACGCTGGACGTAGTTGGCCGAGCTTCGTCTTCGCTTTATTTCTACCTTCGGTCTTAATTTTATTCCTTCCTTCCGTTTTCCGCTGATGGGCAATGTTGTAGTGATTTGAAGTGTCATGCGGTTTCTAACTGACGAGGTAGCGTAGCTCTTCTAATCCTAGCAGCCCACTTGTTGTTTCCGAAGTGGATGAACGGTAATGAGCAACCAAAGAAGTAGCGCTGAATTGGACGCATAAAAAATGCTTCAAAATTCTTCATCCGGTGGAACTGCTCCTTTGAAATCACGAAATAAAACCGGGGGGAAAGACGCCCATACTTCTTCTCCACTCTGTGATGTATGTCGAACTTACGCTTGATTCCTTTCTCTCTATATCTATTTGGAGCAAATAAGCAGCCTGCGCCGACAGTCTAGGGAAATGAGGACTGAAACGTTGAGCGACCTTTCAACTTCCGCGAGTTTTGTTGAATATTTTTTTGCTGCTTGGGTTATAACCCACATTATTTGCATTAGTGTTATCACACTCACCAACCAGTGCCGCAAACGCATTCGGCCTGCTGTTGGATCCGACTTTGTTGAACTTGCGAAACTCAATGGCTTCCATTCCATGCAGGAGAAAATTCACTGTTCTCGGTAGAGCCCTGGAAAACGATTGGCATTATTCAAGCATCCCAGCGCTCAGGAACTCAATTTTTTGCTGGAACTTCGTGCGCGCTCAGGAACTGTTTGCTTGGGGTTGTTCGGTACTGATACTCGACCATTTCTTATGCTGGCCCCATTAGGCGCCAACTCGACAGTACAACCTCTCTCGCGAGAATCTATTCAACTTGGCGCAGTAGACTCAATTGGCATCCCAGTCACGATTGCGAACATGATAGTGAATTTCGGCGCCATGATCGTTTCCCCAAAGGCTAACATTCATTGGGAGTTGATGAAAGGCGGTGGGAGGAGGGGGGGGCGAGCCCAGCTAAGGCAGATTTCTCAATTTCGTTGCGTCGCATGCCCAACCGTTTGCATGGATCACCAGTGTAGCGTTCTGCTGAGAGGAGCGCTGGAGAGAGAAGTGAGACCTGCCTAAAGCCTCACGCAGGGAAGCGCTCTTCCCGGCCCCCTGCGCAGCCCAATACAGCAGAAAGTAAGGTCACCAGGAAATATATGTCGGTCTTCGTGGATAGAAGCCCTATTACTCTCATGCAGGTTATGGGGGATCTGGCATGGCAAGGGCCGATGTAAAGTCGCTTATCAATAGCGCAAAACGGTCGCGTAAGGTCCTGAAAGTAAATTCTGTGAACAAGGATGGGCATTCGGAAACTGGCGTTCCGGACCAAACGATGGTGGCAGGTTAACGTTCAATGGCCAAAGTGGCGCAGCATAGGAGAGGAATGTTATATTTGTGATCAGGATGCCGCAGAAAATTAGCACAGTGCACGTCGTTGCTGTGGATCCCCAAAAGGGGGTCGTATTTGATCGCTCTGAGAGGGGGTCGTGTTTGGGCTGAGAAAACTTCATTTTGACAGTTGATTTTTCTTGTTTCATGGACGTTGTGAAAGGGCGGTGTCGTACTTCCCTTCTGATCATTTGAAGAAGGTTGCCTGACTTTTCGGTTGATTTCTTTGTTTTCATGTTGTGCAATATTCCCCTGTCCCCCCCCCCCCTCCCCCTTCGGCATAGACAGCTCGATGGAGAAGGAATCAGGGGTTGGGGTAGTACCCTCTCCCAAAAAGGGGAGGGCGACCCGACCAGAATCCCCAACAAATGATGTGCCCTGCATTAGTATGCAGGTTTATTTCGACCACCATGGAAAGATCTCTGCTCCAAGTTGGGTCATAAGGGCGCCAGCGCTGGTTGGTGTCGCTTCGTGTACCGAGTAGCCTTTTCATTGGTTATAAGCTGCTTCAGCGACAAAATTGCCAGATTTTCGGGAGCTGATCTTTTCTGGAAATTTTCTCTCACGTGTAATTTCATTTCTTATTTGCCGTTATTCGGTTGGATTTGGTAGCTCCCAGGTGTTTGTGATTAGCTGCGCTATTTATTCCGGCGCTGTTTATCGACGGGGGGGGGCATTTTGTATTATAAATCTCACTCTGGTAAAACTTGTGAACGCTTGTGAAGCTGGAGCAAGATCGTCTAGCCACCATCCTAAAACGTGTCAACTCGAAAAAGGGTACCTAGTCCTCATCATTGCGGACCGGTGGGGCGTGTCAGCCAGAAGGAGTGCGCACACTGTTGAAGCCGTTCTCAGCCTTTTTGTTGCAACGCGTATGCGACAAAAAGTGGTAGAAAACGAGTAATACGAAGGATATTATACAGTAATGCACTTGTTCGCTTCAAAAACTGGTGCAGAACTTTGCCAAACCGCACCAAATGCAGCCGCACTGCCACGCCCCACCGGTCCGCAATGATGAGGACTGTAGATGGGTTGGCAAATCTATGAAAAGCAGAATGCCCCCGTTGATAAACAGCGCCATTCATCCCTTCTGAAGAGCAGTGTGAAAAACCATCCTCAAACAATGATATTCTTTTGTTCAGGAAAGTTCTACTCAGAAAAAGTTGAAACAATAGAAAGAGCTTGAAGGACCTTATTAATTGAGTCGATGCCACGGAGTCAATCACCATTAGAACGACATCGGGATGCCTCTGTGGATCGAGATTTTTATCCGTTGTTGACCTAAGTTGATTCTCATTGAAATCATACTGAAGATTATTTCTTACCGATATGTTATTTCTCGCACGTGGGTGGTCACTGCCAAAATTTCAGGGAATGTGGACAACTATTGAGTGTGTCTCATGTGTCCCAAGTCGGTACCTATCTAGAGGGCCAGAAGCATGCGAATTAGTCCCTCATCTCACAAAAAAATCTTACCTGCGATCAATTCATGTTGGGTGCCCCCCATACCCCCTCCCCTCCCCCCCTTCGGATAGCCTGTCTGGTATCTCTCGCCTGGTATCATCCTAAGAATACTAACCAAAATTGCAAAACATGTACGGTCCAGGGACAACAAAGTCTGATTTGCAGAAAAGAGACGAATACTCGCGGTTAAGATTGAGTACTCTGTGTCCACCCTGTGCATTACGTGAAAGGATCTCACTTCTGCTCTGCTATGTGCATGTGAATATATCGCTTGGTCTCAGTGCCTGATTTGCATTTTGTTTCGACGAAATCGCAATCGAAAACTGTGTCGTCGATTGAAGACCACCATCCCGTTGTATATTGGTTGTCACCAGCGTATTCGATGCAACTGAAACATGAATCGAAACTATATGGGAACATGGAAAAAATTGCAATATTATAGTATTCTTCAGTCATGAGGACTGGATAACAGTGAGAACAGTGGGACACGGAAGCGACTGCACGGCTCTACAAACGGATGAGGAAGGAGGATTGAGTTCAAAATGTTGCCAGCTTAAGGGTACATTACACGCTCGTAGTAGGAGGGACAAGCTCACCACTTTAGCTTCCTCACTGCACGAATGCAAGCACGCTCGTCTAAATCATCACTGTGCGCTATCGAGTGGACCCCAGTTTATAAGCTCCCACTTACTCGCAATATAAATTGAAAAGTTCCAAGTTCCGGGTTCATCCACTTCAGTGAAAAAAGCAACTCTCTGTGGTGATCCCGCAACTATCATTCGAGCAAATTTTTACTCCCTAATGGGTCTTTCAAAACATTTTAGAAGTTCTTCGTCATAGAAACAGATTCAGAAACAAAAGAAAACAAAAAAAAGTAGAAACGGAAGCAACAAAAAAAGGCAGCCCAGTTCCCTGCCCTCTGACAGTCGCTCAGGAAAGACGATTTCTTCTTGTGCCAGTCCGAACTTGATTCGTGGCGCTTTCCAAATGACCTAGCCGTATATTCAACCCTTTCTAGTGCCATTCTCTCCATTCATGTCAGTGTTATGTTTACGGATGCGAGAACGATGTGATGCTATGGCACATGGCGCCGTTGAGCTGCGTGAGTACACGCACTCTTTGTAGAAAGGGAGTCTCAAGTAAGCCTTTCATTGTTTTGGGTTCACCGCCTAAAAAGATTAAGAACAGAAGGTAAGAGGTGTAATAGATAACGGACTCGCCCGGTCAACGGGGTGCGACTTCGAGTCCTGCCTGAGGTCTGATTTTGGCCCATAATCCGGTCAATTGAGAAAAACGTTTTTGCCGTTGAATTACAACTTTTCAAGATGCGGCACTAAGTCTCTTTCATGTGGAACCTTGGTGACACTTCCAAAGCGATCTGGCCTATAACACGACTTTCTGGGGTCAGCCGATGTACAAGTCAGTTTTTTTGGGGCTAACGGCGCCTTGGAAATGTAAGGCTTGAACTGGTCAGGGAGGAAGCCGTTCTGCGATTTGATTTTTCTCATTACAGGCAAGTGACACGATAAATCCCCGAAGACGCCTAGCAAGGAATTAGGTTGTCCGGAAAGTTCTCAGCGTTTTGAGTGTTTCACTTTAAACGATCATAACTTTCTTAATACTCATCGGATTTAATCGAAAGCACCGTTTCAGCACACTTTTGCCAATGTGACACCAGTCGAGAAATCCCATCAAAGGAAAAAACTGGGTGGTCGAGAAGATAGTCGGTTGGTGAAAGGTCTGGAGAATATGGCGGGTGAGGTAGAACTTCAACCCCCAATTCGTTCAATTTATGGATAGTGATTTGTGAAACGTGTGGGCGGGCGTTGTCATGCAGAAGAATCGGACCCTCTCTGTTGACAAGTGCTGGCTGCAGCTGACGCAATTTTCGGTAAATTTCGTCGATTTCTTCACAGTAGGACTCTGCTGTGATGGTTTGGCCTGGTAACAAAAAGTTATCGCAGAGGCTGGGAAGAGCATACGCAACGCCCGCCGCGACTTCGCCAACTGTAAGACCAAGATGACCGCCCTCCGACGTCCGGATGGAACAATCACCGCATCCAGAAGGGCAATGGAGAAGGTCATCCACGACTTCTACTCGGATCTCTTTGACAGCCACGTCCACCTGCAACCATACCGCTTGGAGCAGGATGGATATGTCGTTCCTGCAGTTCTCCCTTCCGAAGTCCGACACGCCATCTCGTCGGTGAAGAATCGTACGGCACCGGTCCCGACAGGATCAGACCCGAACATCTGAAGAATCTTCCGCCAGTTCTCGTCAAAACTCTGGCTCGACTCTTCACGCGCTACCTGTCGGAATGCAAGGTACCCACCTCGTGGAAAACCAGCAAGACTGTGTTGCTGTACAAGAAGGGAGACCTGTACGACATTGGCAATTATCGCCCAATCTGCCTGCTGTCTGTAGTCTACAAACTCTTCACACGAGTCATCCTGAACAGGATTGGCAGAACACTAGACGAAGGACAGCCATGCGAGCAAGCAGGGTTTCGAAGAGGATTCAGCACGATCGATCACATCCACACGGTAACGAAGCTCATCGAAGTATCGCGAGAGTACAAGATGCCGCTATGTCTCACGTTCATCGACTTGAAGAAAGCCTTCGACTCCGTTGAGACAGAAGCGGTTATCGAAGCCCTGGGCAACCAGGGTATTCCTACTCAGTACATCAGGATTCTTCGTGAGCTCTACAGCAACTTCACGACCAAGATTCACCATTCTACAAGGAGATCATCATTGATGTGAAGAGAGGGGTCCGACAGGGCGACACCATCTCGCCCAAGCTCTTCAGCGCCTCTCTCGAGAACGTCATGCGTCAACTGGAATGGGAAGACATGGGAGTGAAGATCGACGGTCGGCAACTACACCATCTCCGCTTTGCTGACGACATCGTTTTGATAACACCAAACGAGCAAGCGGAACGAATGCTGGCTGAATTCGACTGCGCGTGTGGAAAAATCGGTCTACGGCTGAATCTAACGAAGACGATGTTCATGAGAAACGGATTGGTATCTGATGCCCCATTCACGCTCAACGGAACGACCATCTCTGAATGCTCTAGCTATGTGTACCTAGGTCGTGAAATCAATATGATGAATGACTTAGCTCCAGAGCTGAGCAGGAGGAAGCGAGCGGCTTGGGGAGCCTTCAAGAACATCGAGGGAGTAGCGAAGAAGACGAAGAACACCAAGCTCCGTGCCCACCTCTTCGATTCCGCGGTCCTTCCTGCCTTGACGTACGCCTCAGAGACTTGGACTCTACGAAAGCAGGATGAGCATGCGGTCGGCGTTATTCAACGCGCCATCGAAAGGGCGATGCTCGGAGTTTCCCGCTACACGCAAGTGAGAGAGGGAATCCGGAGCTCCGCACTCCGCCAACGATCGAAGATCAGAGACGCCGCCGCATTTGCCAAGGTTTCGAAGATCAGGTGGGCCGGACACGTCATGCGTTTCGAGGACGACCGCTGGACCAGAGCAGTCACCGACTGGATTCCACGGGATGTCAAGCGAACGCCTGGACGACCGCCTATGCGATGGTCAGACTTCTTCGTGAAAGCTCTGAACGAATGGTATGAAGTTCATCGTGTCCCTCGAGCTGAGAGAGTTCATTGGGCAACTCTTGCACGTTGCAGGGACGAATGGAGACGTTACTGGCGCCCGCTCGAGGAACTCGATGATCAACGGGAGCACAGGTGATACAGGTGATAAAAAGTTATAGTGGATCACACCAGCCGATGACTACCACACTGTGACCATAACCTTTTTTTTTCGTGAGGATTCGGCTTTGGAAATTGCCTCAGAGGTCCGCCTGTTGTCATACATGATCTCCTTTTCATCACACGTGACAATTCGGTCCAAAAGCGGGTCGTTTCTGTTGTGCAAAAGCAGTGAAGAAGAAACCTCGAGACGTGCCAATTTCTGCCGTCACTCAAATTGTGGGGCACCCACTTGTCGAGTTTTTTCACCTTCCCAATGCTTTTCAGACCATCCGCAACAGTGGATTTGCCAACGCCTAGCTTTTCTGCAATCTCTCGAACTGTTTGGGATGGGTCAGCCTCCACAAATGCCTTCAAATCTTCGTCAGGCTTTAGGTCGACCGCTACGAGGTTCATCTTCGGCTGAAATCTCCAGAACGAAATTTGTCGAACCATTGTCGCACGGTGCTTTCTCCAACACTATTGGGCCCCCACACCTGGTTAATTTTTCGAGCTGTCTCGACTGCGGATTGACCCAATTTGTAGTTGAAGAAAAATATCGTCCGAAGTTGCTCTTTTGACATGCTTGAAAAACTCTTGAAAAAAGGGGGTCAATCAAGCAATGGTGAAACGGCAATTATACCATCAGATAGCGCAAAGAATTCTCTTCAGGATGTACTACTGAGACGCAAGGGAGAATGAGTTTTTAATCAGCAATGAATGTACAAAAATAGTAACACAAAACGCTGAGAACTTTCCGGACAACCTAATAGAATTCGGAGCCAATAAGCAGGCACTGCGTGGCGCCTTTCCCAAGGAAGGCACAATTGTAGCGCCCTATCAAACTGCAGCATACCGACGCGGACGCCTACCACTCGCCTGCCTATCAATGTCCGACGATGCTGATGCTCGCATCGCCTCATTTGCGAAGTGCAATATTAAGCGAGGGGATTAATATTAAGCGGCTGCGGTGCTGCACGGATATGTATGTACATACATACGTGCAGCCATACCTACCGTAGCGGTCAGTGGCAAGATACCAACGGGAAACTCGTCCGAAACAGCTTTCCGAGTCGTGTAGAGCCATGGACTTTTTCGCAGGTTTCTGGCTTTTTCACTTCGCCTTTTCGCCACTCCCATCCATGTAGCACCCTTGCTACCATTTCAGAGGATTACCAAATTATCGTGCCTTATGTTTTTGTGCGAAAGGTGAGCGGCCCGCTTGCCACTACACCTCCACTGCACAGTATGATCGTGAAAAAAACAAAAGAAAGATAACGTATTGTACATCAATCAGTCAGTCAGTCATGATCATCGTTCTGGAGTCAGTGATGAAAGAGGAGGAACCGTGCCGAAGGTTCAATCCGTTCCCAACAGAACTTTGTTGCCCTGTAATCAGGGCACATCATTGGTTCGGGATTTTAGTCGAGTCTGTAACGACCATCACCGCCCCCCCCTTTTTTTTTCTCCCCTTTCTTGGGGTTGGTACGGCTCCACCCCTCTGGCACTCTCTGTTCCTCCTCATCGAATCGAGCCGTCGAGCAGGGAGGGGGGGCGATGTGCTCTGCCTGTAATTTGCCTTGCATGTGTCATAAACTACACCTACCATAAATCCAACACTTGAAACCAATAACTGTTAAAGGCACGGTCCGCGATCAGGTACAGAAGTTGAAAATATGGCGTCGGGAGGGTAATGTGGTCCGCGACG